ACAGTTTCACAGATCTCTTTAGGTAACATAGGAACAGATGATCCTCCAGGAATAATGCATTTAAGATTGTCCCAACCTCCTCTGACTCCTCCACAATGTCTTTCAATTAATTCTTTAAGAGGAATAGACATTTCTTCTTCAACAGTGCAAGGATTATTAACATGACCAGAAATACAGAATAATTTAGTGCCTCTATTGTTGGGTCTGCCAAAAGATGCAAACCAATTAGCACCTCTTCTAAGAATAGTTGGACAAACTGAAACAGTTTCAACATTAGTAACTGTAGTTGGACAACCCCATAAACCTGCATTGGCTGGGAAAGGTGGCTTAAGTCTTGGTTTTCCTGGCTTTCCTTCTAAGGATTCTATCAAACCCTAATAATTATTATTATTAAATGAATACAGTTTCTTCTCCACAAATATAGGCACCTGCTCCACTGTGAACATAAACATCAAAATCATATCCACTACCGCATGCATTTTTACCTAAAAATCCCTTTTTATAAGCTTCATCCACTGCTTATTATAAGGCATTGGCCTCTACCCAGAATTCTCCTCTACAATATATGTATGCTGCTCTAGCTCTCATAGCGAATCCAACACATAAGGCTCCTTCTACTAATTTATGAGGATCATGTCTCAAGATTTCTCTGTCTTTGCATGTACCTGGCTCAGATTCATCTGCATTTATAACCAAGTAAGAAGGTCTTTATTTGATAATTGCATTAAAAAAATTACCTTCCATCTGGATTGACTTTTGGCATGAATGAGTATTTCAAACCACTTGGAAATCCTGCTCCACCTCTTCCTCTAAGACCACTCTTTTTGATTTCATCTATAATCCAATCTTAACCCATAGTCAATATATCCTTTGTTCTATGCCAATCACCCTATGATTATGAATATTCTTACTCTTTTTAAGGCACCTTGAATATATGGATCTCCATCGCGATAGACATTAGTAAAGATACGATCTTGATCTTTCAATCCTCCGTGATAGTATCTAGGTTGAGGGACCAATCTTAGAAATAGTTGAGCTTATCTAATAATCATTTTAATAATAATGTTTAATCATCAAATCAAAACTAATTTCCAATAGTTATTCTTCCCTTCATTATCATTTAAGCAAACCTATCTATTATGTGATAATGATGCTTTTTTATTAATGAAAGATAAGTATTTAGTAATTTCATTATGTTTCAATTCAAATATTGCTCCATCTTTTAATATGTTATCATCAAATTCAATAGTCCAACATCTACTAGAACCATAGCCACAAAAGACTACGCCCTCTTCATCCAACTCTGTTGCCATAAGATATCTTCCTGTCAGAACATGAATCAACTAAATCATTATAAATCATATTACATCAATTTTATCACCAGAACGAATTGGTAACTTGTCTGCCTCTAAATGCCATTCACAATAACAGCACAATTCAGGATTAAGGTTTGTTAAAGATACTTCATACGAATTGCTTCTTGTATTTGTTAATCTGATTATAGATAATCATATTTACTTAATTGAATGAGAAGAAAGTAGTTTAGATAAGTACACATTTAGAATTTAAAGTTTGTTATCTATACCAATTGCATTTCCTAAGATTACTGTTTGTCTCTACATTATTTAGATTGTATTACTTAACTATCTGGATTCTGATAAAATTAGCTAGCTGTAAAAACCGACCGATCCTATTAAGAGTAAATTACAGAGTCCTCCTCAGGAATTATTGTGAAAGTTGTTCTTGGGTTGGAACCTCTTGGATTGCTTCTACATGGCCAATTTACTATATTATCACCTTTCTAACATACTGAGCCCATTAATTTAATTAATCTTATAGTAATAACATAAGCACATATATTAAAGTGTTCAATAAAAATCAAATTTAAAATCTATCCTCTGAATATACATAAAAATATGAATATAAGTTTATGAGACTACTATCAATAAAAAAGAAATTTATTTTGAATTCATAATATTAAATGAAACTATATTCATTAAGTGAATAATAATAATTTTGAATCATATTGAATCATTTCTTCTTCATAAAAAAAGATGATGTTATATCATATGCACCTGGCCCAGGTAATTTTGTATTTTCAGAGCAACTCTGAGATCTTTTCTCTCTTCCAAATACAATACTCACTTAAGGTTTCTTTGATTTTATTTCTATTTCATACTCCCCTGGTCCCTAAAATAAGATAAATATCATACAGGTATCTATATCTTATTGTAACTGTTTCTTCTAGCCTGACCAAATATTACGCTTTTAGTTTCTCGAAAATCTCCAATTGTATAAGATTATGGTCCTGGACCTTAATAATCGGTCTTTTATCTATATCTCTAATAGATTGAATATTTAGGAGCGTTGCTTGGTTTATTTGGCTAATAACTTCCTGGTCCTGGAAGAACATTACGTTTTGTATCTTATCGTTATCCTTTACCTATAGAATAAGAAACACTCTCTTTAATTGCTTAGATTTCATAATCTCCAGGACCTGGAGAATTAGATTTTTAAAAAATGCCTTCTCTTTTACTTGTTCCAATTTTAAAGGATTTTACTCTTTCTTATTTTAATTGTTCATATGCATCAGGACCAGGAGTAATCATTGATAATGTTTTATCTCTACGAGGAACCATTTTAAATCCTCCATCAGTTTTTAATAAAGAAGGAATTTCATATTATCCAGGGCCTATATGATTACTATAGATTTTTCCTGATCTTGTTTATTATCCAATTATATATGATTGGACATGTTTTTTGATATTTATCTAATAATCTCCAGGTCCTGGTGATAATTTCTTTTCATCTTTATACCTTTTCTCACTACCTATTTTGAACCCTATTCTAGAAAGCTATGAGATATCAACTTTATATGCTCCTGGACCTGGTTTTTATTATGATTCTTTGTCTATTTGATATGCTTTCCCATAAATCAAAGTTTTTCTCTATGATGATGGTAATCTAGGATCATATTGACCTGGACCTGGAAGGTTTTTAATAATGGGGATTTCTCTAGAGTAAGTTCCACTCATAGTCCATTTTGGTGCATTAACATGTGAAACTTCTATTTTAGGTTCATAACTTGCTGGACCTGGAAAATTTTAATAAGTTGTGCTTGTATGATCTAAAGAAATATAAAGGAGCTTAACTTCTTTTTGAATTTCTTGATGGTATTTACATTTGCAAATAATAAATGCTTTATAGCTATAAATTGTCAGATAAATAAATATCTAATTATTTTTTTAGAGAGTTGTTAGAAACAAGTTAAATCCATTTATAGAAAGTTAAAGAGTTTAAAAAACTAAATATATTTATATTTATTAATAAATTTCGTTTTACGTAGTATGAGTTCTCCATAAGAGTGTGATATTAATTTAGTAAAGGAATTGATGTAATTAAGGACTAAGATGCTTTCCGTAGTTGTCTTTAGATCTTGGGAAATCTATTAAAGGAGAATTTAGATCTCTTGGAGACTTTTGCTGAAATGTTTAGGAAAATGTAATCAATAAATGAGTTTTTTGATCTTTATGAAGCATTACATTATGAATTGAAAATAAGATGTGAAGAAACATTAACAATCATAAGTTAATTGAATAATCCCTCAATTCTAGGGAAAAGCTATGAAATACCAAATATTATAACTAATGATCAAAAACCATCAATCCAAGAGTATAATATAATTGATACTCAAATTTATGATTTAGTATTGGATATAAATATGAGTTCTTCATGGAAGGTAGTTGTTAATCCAATATTTCAAGTTATTGGTGAACAACAATGAACTTAAGGGAGCTAGAGTTGCAGTACTTGGTTTATATGACAAAGGTAAAACGCATATATTAAATCAATTAACAAATTAAAATCTACCCACAGGATCTAAAATAACAACCAAAGGAATTAGTTTTAAATAATGTATAGTTGACAAAAATAATTCATTTGTGTTGATTGATACAGCAGGTAGTTATGCACCTGAGAATCTTAGAAATTTAAAAGAGAAATAATAGATTGAAAATGCTATTCTAGAGATATCATTTGAATTAACAGACTACTTTATTTGTGTTGTCAATGATTTTACAAGCATTGAAGTTAGATATTTAGATTAATTAGCTCGTAAATTAAGCACTTCTCTCAAATAATTTAAAGAAATAATTGTAATCCACAATCTTAAAGATATAACTAATCCAAATCTGATACAACATGTTTGGTAAGTATAAATTGAAAAAATCTTAGAAGGAAATATATAGAAATCAACTGTCTAAGCAATGAATCCTTTCACAAATCAATTGGAAGAAAAGTCTGTTTTGTGGTTTAATACAGAAACAAGTAGACATATATGTATTGTAAATGATAATTCTGATTTGGGTAAGAGTATTAATCCTTGGACTTATAGTCTACTTAAATATTGGTTGAAATTGGTTGTTGTACCTCATTAAAAGAAAATATTAAAATATGATGATATTGTAGAGGTTTGTGAATTAAAAATGTGTACACTCTTAAAAAAACAAATAAAACTAACAATTTAAGATACTCATTTACCAAATGAAAAAAGAATTGTCAAATAATAAGCTACCTCACCTAAATTTACTTAAACTATTTCTACTGCTAAATTGATATCTACACCTCTTGATATTGAAAATGAAGAAGGTGAAGAATATGAACCATAAATAGATATTATTTAAGGAACTCAATATATTGTACTAATAGATTTACCTGGTGTTTCACTAGAAGAAGTAGAAATCTATAGATAGAATGTCTCTACCATAGTTCGAGGACATAAAAAAATCTCGATGTATACTAATAAAGCTACATATATTAAATAAGAAAGAAAATCTGGTCCATTTGATTTAAGATTTAAGATTCCTGATGAATATGATCCTAAATGGAAATATTATGGTATGAATAATGGAGTACTTGGAATTGTTTATAATCTTGATTCAGAAGACTCGATTTTACCAAAAAAGAATTAATTTTGATTTCTATACATATAATTATTTACAATGTATAATTTTCAAGATTAATAATTATTATATGGATTAGAATTAGCTAAATTGAGATATTCAAAAGAAGAAGAAAGAGCCAGAAATAAAAAAGCTTAATTATTATAATACTAACCATAAGTATCTTTATACTTCTATAAAATTAAGCATTTCAATCAATATGAACATCCATTATCAATATTTAACAGATCCTCATTAGATAGTATTCCACTTGCTCAACCTGGAATGGTAATTATTAATATTAATATAGCCAGTCATTCCTATTCCATTTACAATGATGCCTTGGCCAATGGAATCATAAATCTAAATGGGTTTTGATTTCTAGAGATCTAAAAATTAATAAGAAATTAGATAACAAAGAATAGAAAATATAATGAATATAGGTTTAAATATTTATTTAAATATTAAGGTAAACCAAAACCAATATAAAAACCTGGAGATAAAATACTTTATCCTCATGATTCCTTATCAAATTCTCGATTATCTACTATAGGATAATCATAATTAATATAATATCCCTAATAATATTAATAATACTAATAATACTAATAACAATAATAGTAATAATATTAATAATATTAATAACAATAAATGTAAAAATAATCATAATAAAAATAAGAGATTGATAAATTACTTATATCTAATTAATATAATAAACATATTCCCTATAAATAATAACAACAGCTTAATGATTAACAAATTAAAGAGGAATTTAAAAATTCTTTACATAAATCAAAATTATCTAATAATAGTATTATAAAAAGCAGTTCTCATTCTAGCCAATAAAATTTTATTAAAAAAACTAAAAAGAAATTGCCTGTTTCTTCAAAAAGATTTAGAATATTCAAAGCATCAATAATTTTTATTTCATATTACATTAAAACTTTAAATTCAGAAATTGAAAAAAAATTAAAAATTTGTAGAGAGAGAGATGCTTAAATTCCAAATATTTTAGATTATCTTTTAGGAGAATATGAAACAGCTTTAGAATAATAGATGATTGAATTTTTGAATAATAAAATAGATTTTAAAGTAGAAATAGGAAGAGATAAAGAAAATTAAGCCAAATTTGAAAAAGTTTTTGCTTTTATTACTAGATTTCTCAAACAGGCATTAACAATTAAACCTGATACTATTAATTCCATATTTTTTGATTTTTTAAGATCAATATGCATTCCTAATTAATTTCCACCTCTTGAATATTTTGTTCAATATGAAGCAGAGAGGATTAGATTTAACACTATAGGTTAGATTGGTAAAATAAGTGAATCTATACAATTAATGATTATAGAAGGAGTAATTTTACTCAGAATTCTTGTTAACTAAATGATATTTAAAGCATGGGAATATCATCCATCCTAAGATAATTAAGAGGTTCTATTTTTTATTCATAGAAATGCTCTTATAGTTGGATCAATTCTTGTACACTTATATTTAGAACGATATATTAATGAAATCCCTTTAAAATTTGATTGGGGAAAGGTATAATGGAATAGAATCAAAATTCTTCCTTAGATATATGATGATGATGAGCCAGACAATAAGAAAACGGTCATTAAGAATCTTCTACCTCAATAAATAATAACACCTTATTTAAAGTATTTGGCTGCTCAAACAAAAAAGAATAATGAAATTTAAGATTTATTAAATTAGATCATGTAAGGTTATTTGAAAGAACTGAATAAATAGACAGAAATAGTATTTAAAGAAAAAGAAGAAAAGCCTAGAATGATAAGTTTAATAATGAATACAATATATAGGGAAATATATGTATCAAAGAGACCAAGAAGATATGATTCTAATTGATTCAAATTTATCTCAAATAAAAATTGAAAAATATGTATTTTTCATAAAGTTTTAAATTTCTAATTATTCATATAGATTAATAATTATAAACTAATTTATTTCCAATTATATAATAATATAAATACAACACAAAAAATATTTTCATATATTACATTAAAGCAATTCAAGCTCTTTTTTTTCACAATTAAACATAGCAATTATTGATGGACCTTAAGATAATCCTATTCCTAAGTATTCACCTTCATAAACTTTGATTTATTCAATTTTATTATTGTTTATAATTTTCCAGATAATTGTTCTATGTTCACATTTTGTAATGATCAATGATTGATTATAATTATATACTATTTTCTTGATATATCCAAATTTTGGATTATTTTCAAAACATAATTGATATTTATTTTAATTATTCTACCATATTGATATATTACCATCATAAGTACCAACAATAAGTGAATTATTTTGTATAAAATGAACACAATAAATAAAACTTGAACAAGGTACATCTATTTAATCTATCTTATTAAATATATCATAATCATTTCTCCAAATATATACTTTACTATCTTCACTTCCTGATGCTAATAATGTATTATCCTCTGAAAAACTGATACTATTAACAGCAGCAATATGATCAGATATCATTTGAGCATCCTACCAATTTTGATTTATATTTTTCCAAACAAATATTTTAGAATCATGTCCACATGATATTATTAAATTATCTTAATTATTAATTGCTAATCCAAATACTGTTGAAGTGTGTTTATTCAATTATTTAATGCAATCCCAATTTTAATTTTTGACTTCATACCTCCACAATCTAAGTGTAAAGTCTAAACTACCTGAAACAAAAAAATGATCTTTTTTACTATATGAGATGGCTGTAACTCTCTTAGAATGACCATATAAAATAGTTTCACTTTACAATTTATTATCACCGCATAAACTTAAAACCATTAAATTTTTATTTTAGATCTGATTATAATTTCCTCCTCCAATTACTATTTTTGAATTGTCAAAACTAAAAGCTATTGCATATACAATAATATTGGTTTAAAATTAAGTTAATTGTTCAAATTCTTACTTTTAATCAGTACTATTTTTGTTTATTTGTTATAATTATTATTATTAATTCTCCTTGTTTGTTGTTATTAGAGGATTTCTCTTAATATTTATTGGATTTGAATGTAAAATTTAATTAATTTATTGAAGTTTAATATTTAATTAATGTAAATTATCTAATTAATCTGATGCAAAACTTGGTACATTCATAAGATTAGAATTCAAAGTTATTTCAGCTATTTAACATAAATCTTCTTAATTATAATAATTAGATTTTAACAATTTCTAAATCTCTTCATATTATGAATTTATTTTTAACCATTTATCATGCTAATCTTAAATTTTTTTATGCATTTATTAATACGATTGTAATACCAAATTTGATTACTACACAATATTATTCATTTCACCCATAATTTATTGATTCTATATTATTTTTGATTGCATGGAAGACAGTTATCGGAACTTCATTAATATTTCTTCTATGCTGATTGATTCCTTTTTTATACATTAAATACATTCAGTTTTCATGTATTTTTGAGTATTCTTCTCTAAATTGATATATAGTTTATCAATATTATGTATTTAGCACTTTTCAATTTGATAAGACATTCCAAATCAATGATTTAAAGGATATATTCAATTAATTAATTAGACTTCTAAATTTTTACAACATATCAATATATATTCATTAGATTATTCATAAATAAGTTTATTGTTATGTATATATATATAGAAGATATAATAATCATTATGTTGCTTTAGACTACAACTCTAAGATCTTTTCCAATTAGGATTGAATTTTCTATTTTTCTTTTACTTACATAATTTATTTTCCAGATTTATTAATGTTAGATGTTTATTCAGAATTCTCATAAGTTGGTTTGTTTCCAAAATTTTGTAAATCTGAAATAGTGAAATCTGTATATTGCTTATTTTTAACTTTATTCTCTGTTTTCTTGAATTCCATATTAATTATATCAAATATTTATTCTGTTTCTTCTTATTCATAATCCCACCATCCATCTAACCAACCTTTTGATTCTAATTCAGGATAGACATATCCATATTTTCTTTTCATTTCTACCATTCTTCTAGGTATGGCAACATTATGAATATACCAAAGTAAGACTAAAGCAAATCCCATAGGATAAATGAACGCAAAAGTGAATTTTTTAGGAGTCATTCTAGGAGACCAGAGAATGGAATTTTTATATTTTTCCATTTGATCAATTTAATCTGCAATTGCTAATTCATATGGTATTTTGTATGGATTGGTCATTGAATTTCCTCCTTTGATTTTAAGTTTTGGATTTTTATTCATCACATGTAATACTATGGCTTTTCTAGTCTATATTAATATTATAAAATTACTTCGACAGGTAGATTAGCTTAATAATCATATATAGTAGGAGTCTTAATGAGTACCTTTTTAGGATTTAATTTAAACATAATTATTAATTAAATATAATCAGAGGATGTAAAAGAGATAATTGATAGAGGATTTTGCAGAATCTAAATATTTTGATAATGATGATGAGAAATTGACAAATGAGCAAGTAAGAAAAAGAGAGATGGAACAATAAAAAAAAGATGAAGTAGAAGATGATGAAATAGATCCTTTGGATACTTTTATGCAAGACATAGAGAAATAATATTAATAAGAATTGGCTTAACCTAAAAATGTGAAAAAGTTTGAAGTTGAATAATTTGAGAATGAAGATCCAATCTTATCATAATATGAATTAATCAAATAAAATAAATTGAATTAATAAAGTAATCCAGTTTGTATATGATAAGAAAAATAAAAGCAATTAAATGGTGAAAGTGAGGATTCTATGCCAAGTGATTTTGATGTAGATGAAATAGATGAGGCAGAGAAAAAGAAAAAAAATATAGAACCTTTACAACCAATAGATCACTCTTAAATCTAATATGAGGAATTTGAATCAAATTTCTATTAAGAACATGAAGAAATAGCTAATTTAAGTGTTGCTCAAGTTGAGAAAATTAAGAGAGAATATCAAATCCATATTAAAGGCAATAATGTACCAAAACCTATAATATCATTTGGGCATCTCTAATTAGACTAGAAATTAATCAATAAAATAGTAGCTTAAAATTTTGAGAAGCCAACTGCTATTTAAAGTTAAGCCTTACCTTGTGTATTGTCTGGAAGAAATGTAATTGGAGTTGCAAAAACAGGGTCAGGTAAAACTATAGCATATGTTTGGCCAATGCTTGTTCATGTGAGTGCATAGAGGGCAGTAGAAAAAAAAGAAGGTCCTATAGGTTTAGTTGTAGTACCTACAAGAGAATTGGGATAATAAGTCTTTTTGGAAACTAAAAAATATGCTTAATTATTTCAGATAAGTGTCAGTGCTTTATTGGGAGGTGAAAATAAACATCATTAATGGAAAGAACTGAGAGCAGGTGTAGATATAATAATAGCTACACCAGGTAGATTGATTGAAATGGTAAAGAAGAAGGCAACAAATTTACAAAGATGTACTTATGTTGTTTTGGATGAAGCTGATCAAATGTTTAGTTTAGGCTTTGAATATTAAATTAGATCTATAATAAATCAAATAAGACCTGATAAATAAATATTGTTATTTACTGCTACTATGAAAAAGAAGATTAGATAATTATGTGTAGATATGTTGATTGATCCTATTGTTATTACAATAGGTGAGAATGAAAATTAAGTAAATGAAGATATTAAATAAATCCCTGTAATTGTTGATGATGACGAAGGAAGATTGAGATGGTTATTATAGAACTTGAAAACATATTTATAAAATGGGAAAGTATTAATATTTGCAAATTAAATGGGGTAATGTGAATCATTGCTTTCAGAAATAAAATAAAGATTGGGAGTTTAAGGACTTACTTTATATGGTGATAAATTATAATATGAAAGAACTTTAATTATTAATCAATTCAAATAAAATGTCCATTTACTAATTGCTACAGATATAGCATCAAGAGGATTAGATATTAAAGAAATAAGAACTATCATTAATTATTTTCCTCCTAAAGATGCTGATATATATATTCATAGAATAGGAAGAACAGGAAGAGCTGGAAATTGTGATGGTGTTGCCTATTCATTAGTGCAAAAATAAGATTGGAAATTTGCAATTATGTTGGTAAGAAGCATCGAATTAGCAGGACAGATTGTACCTCAGGAATTAGAAGAAATTGCAAATTTGGATGATCACTTTAAAATGGATAGAATGAAAAAGAAAATGGGATATGATTATGCTAGAGGTAAAGATGCAAGCAAGATTCTCCATTAGGCTCTTAAAAGATAGACTAATTCAAAAGCTGGATTAGGATTTGATGAACAAGAACCTAAAAAATAAAAAAAAATATAATAATAATAGAATAATCCAGAAAATCCAGTTAAAATTCTACCAGTTGTGACTTTGGCATAACCTACAAAGTCTATTGGACAATTTAAAAATAAATGGTAAGATTTCAATCCTTATGAAAACTATGACAATTATGCTGCCACAGTTGCTGTACCTGGTTAATTAGAGAGGGATCAAGTTATCTAACATTTTTAGGAATAAATGCGAGGATAATTTAGAGCTGGATTCAAATCTGGAGGTGTTGCTTAAACAACTAATAAGAAACCCGTTGTTAAATTTTTAAATGATCCTAATAATTAGTAGAAGAAATAATGATTTTTTTATATTTTTATGTGATCATAAAATATTTAGAAGCCAACGTCTAGTTTTAGTTTATAATGTGAACATTTTGAAATAAATTAAAAAAGATTTTAATTTTTTCTTGAAACAATTATGGTAAAAACTATATCGATGTCTATTTTAGGCAAGAGGACCAAAGAAACACATGAAAAGAATCACAGCACCCAAAAGTTGGATGCTTTCAAAATTAGGAGGAAATTGGACCATAAGACCATCTTAAGGACCTCACAAATTAAGAGAATCAATTCCTCTTTCTGTCATATTGCAACATAAATTGAAATATGCCTTGTATGCTAGAGATGCTACCATGATTCTTGCTGATAAGGATGGTAACATTAAGGTTGATGGAAAAGTGAGAACTGATAGTGGATATCCAGTTGGATTATAGGGTATCTACTTTTCATATCATCCTCATAGATGTCATTACAATTGATAAAACAAGAGAAAATTATAGAGTTTTATATGATGTTCAAGGCAAATTCATATTAAAATCCATTAAACCAGAAGAAGCTAAATTCAAGCTTGTCAAAGTCACCTAAAAGAAAGTTGGTCCAAACAATGTCCCATACATTGTCACCAATGATGCCAGAACCATCAGATATCCAAATCCAGATATCCATGTTAATGACACTCTTAAAATAGATTTAGAATCAGGAAAAGTTGTTGAATTCCTTAAAGAAGAACCAGGTATTTATAACCTTTCTATTCTTTTAAGGAAATTTATGTTACATTATTGGAGGTAACAATATTGGAAGAGTTGGACTTATTCAACATAGAGAAAGACATCTTGGATCATTTGATATTGTCCATGTTAAAGTAATCATTTTATATCGACATATTACTAGGATTCTAACGGAAAACATTTCTCCACCAGAATCAACAATATCTTTACTATTGGTAAAGGCAAAAAGTCATTGATCTCCCTCCCAGAAGATAATGGTTTATATTTGACTGCACTTGAAAAAAAATAAGTCAAAGATCAATAATAAGTTGAAAAATAATGATGATTCATTAAAATATATCAGTATAGTACAAAATTATATATCTAATTATTCATCTTTACTCCTCTATTTTTTCTCTTGATAAAATTTATTAAAATCTATTTATGGGTTAAAACTTATTCATCAAAAAAATTGATAAAATTATATATAATCAAGTTTAGAGACTTTAAATATGTCAATATTATAATTTTTCAAATAGCATTAGATTTATTTGATTTAAGAATTTTTGGAACTCAGCTTATGATAATCCTGCTCTGATGTCTAAAATCACTAACTTATTTCTAAACTTAAATCTATTCAAATAACCCTTGAATCTGTGTGAAAAATAGGTTTAACATTCAAAAAAGAGGTATTTACTGAGTTTATATTATTTTTGTTTTGTTTTTTGGTGTATAAAAATTTTGAAGCATTTTTAAGTACTTTTATAATTTTGATATAATTGGCCACTTTTGAAGTGAAAATAGCTTATTGGGATATTATATTTAATCGATCACACTTGATATCAATAACAAACAATAAGCTGTATTGCTAAAAGTTTAAATTCTAATATTGAATTAGACTGTTTATATTTAAAAAAAGGCATATATCCCTTTGATTTCTTTTTAAAACACTTATAAAGAATTGGTTGACATATAAATCTATTTATGAAAAATGATTTTATACACATTTATTTGCAAGTTGTTTATACTTTTAAGAAATATTGATTATGAAAATTGGTATTTTGAATTTAATCTTATTTTTAATTATAAATACATATTAATTCATTTCTAAGATTTTATCCAAAGTGTTGTTCCTAATACTATAAATATTGAAAATTCAGAACATAAGAAATGACAGTAAGTTTCGAAAAATCTGAATATTTTAATAAATTTAATACTATTCTTGGTAGCATAAATGAAAAAAGAAACAAAGAAGAAAAAATTGACCCATAAGCATTGTAAACATTATCCATTTTTAATTTATAATCCTTTTAAAAGTTTCATTTCCATTACTATAATATTTGGAGCATTCAAAATTCAATTTTGATATTTAGTACAGTTCATTAATACCCAAATATAAGAATATCAGACTTCCATTAAATAAAGTTAGTCTAAATATTTTACTATAATTACTTCACAAATATTAATACTACAGTCATAAAACTTACAAGTAATCTCAATGAATAAACAATATTTAAAAGCATCAATATAAATAAAGATATCTTAGTAATGATGTTTAAAGAACACTTGAATTTATTATGTTCTTTAAAATTTTATGTACAAATCCAACAAAATTCATATTAACATTTACATGTCATATGATTACATCCCCCATTTTTAAAAATTCTTCTTTAACATTAAGGACAATCTTTTATAGTAATAAAATTCAAAAATATGCTCCTTAAATTCCACTTTTCATCTATTATCTTAAACTAATAACCACATTCACATTCAAAATGTTAACAATTGTTCTTAATTATACCACTATATTAACAATCATTTTTTGGACATATCCTTATGTCTTAAGTGGTTTTTATATATTTTTCCAGCAAAAGATCATTCAATCCTTTCATATTTTACATTAATCCTAATACGATATGTTTACTTTGGCATGAACCTGGGCAATGAATTTCTTCAATTACTTCATAATATTTTGCATCAATTGATTTTAACATACAGCATGAACAGATTTGACAACTGCATTGCAATTCTAAAAGTTCTGTAGTTTCACAACAAATAGAGCATTCCATTTTATTCAGAATAAAACAGAATATATAAAATATAAATTTTTTTAAACAATTTAATTGAATTAAAATACTCTTATATTTATATATTTTTATCTTAAACTTATAAATGTTATTTCACAAAATTAATGAAGTTTAAATATTTATAATTATATATATAAGACTTTCATAGTTCCTAATATTTTTTTAATTAAATTTCCTAAGATAATTCATCCCAAGTGATGAAATATTATCCATCCTCACTTAAAGTTCCAACTAAAAGTCCAAAGAATAACTATCCATAATCAATGGCTTGTTCTAATCTAAATATAAGGTTATCTCTCTTTTAATTCGTACTCTTTTTTATTACTCTTATAAAATTTATTGTGTTTCCATTTTTACAGATAAGTACTTATTTACTATGATTATAAATTGATTAGAAATAACTTTTATTCCCATTATGATTACCTTATAAGACTACTTCCTTAAACTTGATATAATTAGGTGATTAATTCTTATCATTAATATTTTAGTAAATCAATAATTTTGTTAAACCAATATCTTGAAAAGCAAATGTATTATTGTTGATGAAAATTATTTAATGACAAAAAGTGTGAACTTGAATCTTTTAAGTTATTAACCATTTAGATGATAAATTCTTACGCTAAATAATTAAAATGCGAGAATCGAAACCACAAGAGACAACAGTGTTAGATTCATCATTGATTGACAATCCTTCAACATAACAACTATGATCTTATATTGTTTATGAACATTTCCAATTTGAAATAGAGGATTAAGTATCCCTACTCCAAAATCTTATCATTTAATCAAAACTACCTGAAACTATGAGATCCTCTTATATATTTAATGCTAAACTGATGATTCCTTGTGAATTACCTGATAATTTTTGAATATATTTCGGATTAGCACATAAATAGCTTGAACTAATTATGATGTTAGAATCCTTGGATGAAGACAAATAAAATAATGAGTATTTATTAAAGAACTTGAGTGCTGTCACTCTTTTGTGATGATTTGTGATTAATTAAACTTATTTTAAGGAATCATTCTTTAACGTGTACACTTTAATTTTGGATTCATGGCTAACTAACAACAAAGAATTTTCTTTATTTATTGCAATAGCTGAACAGTCTGATTTTTACTTGACAGTATTATTATTGATAGTCTTGTAATTGAAGTGTTTAAATGGATCAAGTTATTGCTATAATGGTTATTCAATCTATTGCTAAGACTTTTTTTAGAAGATTGATTTAATTAAATTTATCATTTACATTCTTTCTTGTTTCACAAAAAATGCATTGAAATATTAGATTCTCAAAAACTATATTTATTTATATCTTAATTGATATTTCAATATAATAAATATTTATTAAATTTAGAAATTTTAAGTATTAATAGATAATTTTGTTTTTATATTAAATTTTTTCAGTTTATAATTAAAAAAAAACTATTATTTTTGGAAAAATTCAGATTCTAATATTTTTTTCATCAGGCGATTTATCCAAATCTTTTTTCAGCTTCTACATAAAATCAATTATAATTTGGGCATAGAAAATTGTGTCCATTCGCATTTTTTAAATAATCTAAATTTTTTAATTGTTTTAATTTAATGGCGAAGTTATGAACTTTGATTTCACAATTTGAGGCTTCCAGAGACTCAATTTTTCTAATAGAAATGTTAAGAAGTTGGTATGGATTAAGGGAAATAAATAGCCCTTTTAAGAGAAAATAAGCAAATGAACCCAATTTTCTATGAGAAGGTTATAAAATTTTTAATAAAAAATTTAGTTTATAATTTTAGATTGATTAAGTAAATTATCTTATCTAAGAAGATCTAATAAATTGAATTATCAAATAATAACTAGTGTTAAATATCTTAAACTTTTATATATCCAGAATCATTTCTTAAATTAAATTTAAACAGAAAACTTAAAGATTAGCTGATAATGATATCAAATCATTAAGCATATTTAAAAATATTCAAAGTTACTTTTTAAAAACTAGTTGATCTAAATTAGTGGCGTAATATTTAACATAAAAAACAATAAAAGATCAAACAAAAATATATATATTTTTATGAGAAATTTATATCGGAGCATTAAATTACAATTTTAAGATTTATGCTTTAAGAAATTTGAGAAGTTTTGATTGATTCATAACAATACTTAGTCTTAGTAGTAATTCTAAAATATTAATGTTGAAATCTATCATAATTTATCAAAATTTGCTAGAATTTCTTAATAGCGAAATATATACAATAACATTCATTCCTTAATTTATTAATATTCATCTTTAATATCTTTTGCTTTATTCCTTTTTGGATGGTATAATATGTAATGCTATAATATGAAGATTAAATCAAAACCCAAAACTATCCAATTCAAAATAAATTTAACAATGTTCATATCAACTAGATTTACACTTTCTTACTAACTTAATGATATATTTACTTCCATTAATTTGATCAATAAGCATTTGTAAAAATGATAAAATACCTCCAAAAAAAGCTAATAGTATATTGAATATACTCCAGCCCACCGTTGATTTTCGCTTATAATTCAAATAAACTTAAGGAATGTTTTTTATTAGAGTAACAAATAATTTCTCATATCCCATCCAATATAGGACATTTAATTTTTCTTCTTTAAAAATCACTTCCCAACCAAAAATCCATGTCAAAACTATATACAGTATTGTCGAAGACCATAGAGTTATCAACACAATTATACACCATAAACTGACACCTGAGTTATCTCCTTCTTTATAATAATAAGCTATTTAAAGTATAGTGAGGATTGTGATTCCTACAGAGTGAAACGCAAAAATGAGATCCTATAAAGTAATATTCCCACTGAATGGCCAACCGCTATCCCCTCCTTTATAATAACCAGCTGAGCTATAAGCACTTAAAAACAAGTATCCAGTTAAATTAAGCCCTAAAAATTCAAATGCAATTCCCTTTACACTTTTAATTTACAGAATTAGTTTACTTCTTCACTTTGAAATTTTCATACAATTAGCCATAAAAACTAAAAGACCAACAGAATATATAGGTCCAACCTATAAAATTACTAAGAATATCAAGGGCTTTACTATTAGGTTCTTGTGAGCTATCTCTGGAAAACTCAGATTCATCTATTAATAAAGATAACATTTTATTAGAATTCAATTTTTAATGCAATAAAATATTAACTTAAAATTATAATTGAAGTTTTATCTTCAAATTATTGATAATAATTGAAATATTCTAGTTTAAAATAGGTGATTTTCTTCAATTTCATGAGAACTTTTGTTGTTAAGATTTTAATTGGTAAACTTTAGCTGTTTGTGTGTCTTCTATCAAGATTTTAAGAATTTGATAACATGAAATAAAATTAATTGGTATCTTTACTTGGTTTTGCCATTAAAAGAAAAAAAACAACAATTAAGATTTAAGCTTATTGAACAATATTAATTAATTCCATCCATTTTCTATTATAAAAGGATAATCTTATTCAAAATGCTTACTTCAAGATATTGTTCATATATTGATATGTATCAGTTCAAAATTAAATGATTATTTTAATTGTAATTTTTAATAGTTTAATTAACTTGTTTGAAATTAAATTTGAAATAAAAAATTAATTATGATAAACTATTAAATATATAAATGATTAATTTATTTTAGCAGCCATTTTTTAACATCGAAAACAATTATTTATATTTCATGAAATTCATACCTTGACTCAACATTATTAAACTGTGGCTTTTATTTATGAAAAATGTGCTGATATCTAGAAATAAATAGATGCACTTTCATTATAATTAAAATTAAATGTTTAGATTGAAAATGAAGAAACATAATAACAATCAAAGATTAATTAATAGGAAAAGGAAAATAATTTATAAGAATAAATCTTAGAGTAAAATGAAAATCTCACAAATGAAAAATAAGTAATCATTAAAAATCAGAAGAAAAAATAATAGAATAAGATAACATCCAAACAGTTTGGAAAAAAAACAGCAAAAAATTAGCAAAAATAAAAGGTTTATAAGACTTGCCACCATTGTGATAAATTGTTTGAAACTCTTAAACTTTATTAAAGACATCAATATTAATTATTGTAAAGAAAGAAAATTAATTATAGGAAATTTATTAAATAATAAAAGAATACTGTTTAAACTGAGGAAGACGAAAAATATGGAAATTAAAGGAGTCAAAAACCCAAAAACAGAATAGCAAATATTGATTCAATAGAAATTTGTATTTGATATACAGTCATTTCAATTATTAAATTTGCTAATTATGTGAATATAATATATATTTTTAAATTAAGGGAAAAAAGTTCAATAAAGAACTTGTTCTTAATTCTGTAATTTTCTAAATTAGATTGAAGATACTTCAAATAATATAATATGATTAAATGAAATCAATTTCTGTGTCAAGTATTTTTATTGAATCATAAGTATAATTTAATTAATTAATGGATTACAAAGTCACTCAGATTAGGTCTGAAAATTCACCCATTTTTTGAGTTTTAATTTTAATTGTGGCCCACAAATTTGAATTTATTTTCAACCAGAATTTACCAGATATTTTAATGTTGATATTGCTAAATTTCTGTTTCACACAAGCAGCCTCCTTGCTTTAGGGGAAAATTATCTTGATCATAATTATATTGGTGTTGATATTCTATGCAAATGCATAAGTCTTGGCGCACCTTTGATAGAATTTTTCATGACTCAGGAAGCCATCAAATCTACCAGCATTTAAAATTTATATAATGATAATATTCACTTTATTAAATATTTATCTGATGAATTTTTTCCTTGAGCCATAAAGATTCAAAAATTTAGGAAAGGCAATAGTATTATTTTCTGACAATAAAAAAAGATGTTACTATTATTGAGACTAAAGATTTTAATTTTTCGATTAAATAGAATATGTATGTAATTCAAAACCATTTTGAAAATTATTTAATAAAATATCGAAAGTAATATTTCTTATATTTTCAATATTTCATTTCCAAAGACAAATTTCTGTGAAGATCTCTCAAAAATAAACATAAAATAATTTATTCCATTTAAATATTCAAAAAAGTTGCAACTCTTTATTATCATGCAAATTTGCATTATGAGTTGTTTAGTTTAGAACTGATTAAATAAATGATATTAAATTTTACTTAAGAGCAATCCTAGAATTACTTTGAAAAATTTAAGAAAATTACCAATTAAATCTTCCCTGCTGTTAAATATATCGTAAATTCTTTTGTAAAACAAATCTTTTTATGGATTTAGTTAAAAAATACATATTTATTCTTTCAATCTGCATTCCTTAATAGAAATCATGATGAATATTTTAAAGAATACTCTGCCTATAATTAAGATAAGTCAATATCACTAAAATATACTCCAAATTTGTCATTTGATACTTCATTTTATGTTGAGATCTAAAGTTCCAAAAAAGGAAAATAAATTTATTTAGAATTGTTGAAATTGTTTCATAACTTCGACAATATATTCACATAAAACATAATTATGTGCTTTTGCTCTAATTACTATTTACAATAATTTATATTGAGTTCAAATTGGTTTTATTTACGAGTTTATTTTTGAGTGAAAGTTATTTTTAATTATGAGAAAATAAATCAGAATTAATAATAAATATATTTTTAGAAATAATATTATTCTAATATTTTAAATTTAATTTTAATTTCTAATCTATTTCTCAAAATTGCTAGAAATCAATTGATACAAAAATATACTTACAGCTCATCATTTATTTTGCTGTAGATATAGTACTTACTTGAAATAAACGAGAATTTAAAATACTAACTTTTTAACTTAATATAAAATGCATTTAGAAATATTAATAGTAATTAAGGATAAATATACAAAAAGAAAAATAAAGGAATTTAAAAAATAAACACAAGTTAATACAGGCTTATAATACGTAGATTACAATTTATCTAAAACAGAACACTTTTTTTATTTTATTCAACAGAAATATCTCATATTATTAACACTGCTTAATAAATTTTGCATTGACTTAAAATAGTTTAATCCTTAAAAAATAAGTTTGTTAAACATCAACTGATGTTATACTTGATTTAATTATCAAATTGAATACTATTTCTTAGTCATTCTCTATAAGACATGAAAAAAACATTGTATACTACAATAATTTATATTTTTTCCTATTTACTTAAAATTAAATCTATTTTTTCTAGATTATAATTTATCTGAAATTAAGTGCAAAAAACTGCTTGAAATAATTTTTATCAAAGAAAAATAAAATAATTAATGTTAAAAATGTATTAATCTTCCTATTGTTTGAAAAAGATTTTGCCAAGAGATTATTTATCAATTTAATGCTAATGAATAGTAATAGGATGGTATGAATATTATTATTTTAGGTTGGATAATTACTAATGGTTTATCTAATATATTTTCCATCTGTTCTAATAATCAATACATCTTTGGAGGAGTTTAGGGCTTCAATATGAATACAAGACTTAAAAAGAGTATAGAAAATTTGGCTCCTCATTATAAAATAAAAATTTAATTAGTATTTTGAAGGTATCATCATATATTTAATCTATATATAATTGATTCTTGGAATAATGATAATTTAAAGGTTACAGTTGATGGATCTATATAATTTTCTAAAACTTATAGTTATTACTCCTCCCTGCCTAATTTATGTGGAGCAACTAATTTCAATGATGAGGTAGATTATATAAATTTTGAATTTTTACACATCAATAATAAAGCTGATATTGAAATTTTTGTAATAGATAATGGAGATAATGATGTAATAATAATCTAAAATGATAGGAATTTTGGGGGATTTAGAATTTTGAAATAAGTTTGTATCAGTGTAGCAATAATTGTATTTCTTGTAACTTAGCATGTTTATAATGTAAAATAGGATATCAAGCAATAAATGGATAATGTGAAGAGTACTGTGGTGATTCATACGCTACATCTAATGAGGAATGTGATGACGGAAACTTAATTTAATTTGATGGATGCTATGAATGCAAGTATCAATGTATTAAAGGCTGCAATATATGTGACAAAGGAAACTGCTTATTAAAATGTGAAATTGGGTTTTCTTTTGATGGCGAGAAATGCTTATCTATTTGTGGAGATTCTTATATTACACATTTAGAAGAATGTGATGATGGGAACCAACTTAAAAACGATGGATGTTATAATTGCATGATCGAATAAAATTGGGTATGCCATCAATTAAATAATTATGAGCCTACTTAATGTTCTTATAGTTTAGCTCCAAAACTATATGTATAATATTAAAATTTTTCTTTAAATAAACAATATTTATCAATTTAGTTTAATTAAAAAGTAAAAGTTTTAAGTTAAATTCCATTATCAAATTCTATTATTTTATAAATTGATAATTTACATAAAGATAAATAGAAGATAAAACTTATCAATTAAGTTGATGTAAGGGAATTTTTTGATATTCCTGAATTTGTTATTGAAGTAGAAATATTTTAATTACTGGATATAAAGCCAATTCTATCGATTTACATAAATCAAATCATCATTAATGAACATAGAGCATCTTTGGAATCATATTCATATTTTATAAGATTATCATTTCCATCTTATTTAAACTAGTAGTAGACAAATAATTCACTAAAGTTATTTAATATCAATAAATATATCATCATAACTCTAGCAATAATTTGTGGAATATCCTTTTTAAATGGAAATGCTGATTTAATTTTTGAAGTTTTGAACCTTTTGTCCTATTTACAATATCTCAGATATCTAAATATAAGATTTCCTAACAATCTTATGATCTATTTCGAAGTTTATAATTTAATATCTATAACACTAATCTTAGATTTAACAAAAATCTATTAATTGTAAAATTTCATACATCCAAATTTCAAACCTTCTTCAGGAAAATTTTATTATTACGAGCAAAATGCAGATTTATTTTATAATGTATAAATTTAAATCATCCAACTTATTTATTTGTTTAATATTGATCCAATTTATTAAATAGGCAAAATAAATTTTATACTACAGCTTATTTAAGAAAAATAAAAATACATAAAGACTTTCACTCTATTTAATGTTATGAAAATCTTTAAATGAATCGTTCTGTATTATATCTTTAGTTCTAGATACTTTTATTGGATGTCAGTTTTAGCAACAAAAATTAATTCTAAATGTGTTTGCAAATTTAGTAATAAATTATATATTTTTTGCAAAAATTTAATGAAATTAGAAAAATTGTTACATTTTAAAGGGATTTAATAAATTTTTTTGATTAATGGTTGGGATCTTATTTTTAAGATTTTTTTATTTATACATTCTTTTGACATATCGAACATAAGAGATTTAATGTAAATGATATTATCCTTATCCATACTTTTTGGTTATTTTTATATCATTATTAATAAAATTAAATCAAAATCCAACAAAAATAAAGAAAAATTTTAGATTTTTTGTTTGTAAAGATGAATTCTATTGTTGGGCTTTTTAGTCTATATTTAGGATTCAGAAGTACTCTAATTAATATTGATATCAGCAACTAGTTTAATACAATTAGTGTTAATTCATAATAATCGTAAACTATTCAAAGGATCTAATTATCTTATACAATTTATAGTTGAATGTTCAGTATTGTTATTTACATTAAGCTCTTTAGCATATATTTAGGACTTTGAATAATTTTTTTTGGAAGATAAAAAAATTATTCTGGGTTGGATCCATATTTTTGTGCTATCATTAGGGGTATAATTGAAAGCTGTCCAATTTTTGATTAGTAAAATCAAAGAAAAATTTTGGAAAAAGCATAATCAATCTCAATATTTTGAAGAATAAAAGGCCAAAATATTATTTTTTTGATTGAAATTTAAGTATTATTTTATAAATTTTTCTCAAATTTGATCTGAAAGTATCTTTAATATACGTTGTATCATCTCACAAAATTAAATAATTTGACTCTTTTGATTATATATAAGATGTGAATAACAATTACAAATTATAGAGTATTCAAGATAAATTCTTATTTTCTTCATTTTTATCAGGACATGACTTTTTAATATAAATATAGTTAATTTATGTTAAAAATAATTTCAACTTATTTTTATTTATAAATCTTATATTTTAACTTTTATTAAACCCAGACTTTGATAGTTAGAGATTTATAAATATATTTTTAATTTTTAATTGAATTTTTTTAATTTATATGAGTACATCTATGTAAAAGTACTTTCATTTTAAGTTAAATACAAAAATATCATATTTGAATTTAATATTAAAAAGTTAAATAAGGATAGAAAAATTTCTATATATTTGGTATCCTTAAAACTTTAGCTATGGTATTTGTTATTGTAGATAGGTAATTAATTTAGTGTCCTTGATTGAAGTTAAAACTAAAAAGAAAAACTATACAAAACAATTTTTGAGTGAGTTAAACTGTGATTTTATATAAAAAAGTAAAGTCTACTGACTTTTTTTTCCTCCTAAAATGTTATAAGGAGATTGCTTCATAATATATTTGCAAAAAATTAAAGTATGAATTGTTCAGTTATAAATTTATATTTATGATGATATATAATCTAAAATCATAAATTTTAATAGTGAAGAGCATACAATAAATTTATTGGCTTCTTGGAAGTGTCTTTTCTGTCTTTTTGATTACCATTTGAATAAGAGCAAAAATTGAGAGGAGCAAGAGGAGGAGGAAAATTGATCGAGCTTTTAGTTATAATGATTTGAAGATTAAAAAGACTCAAAAATTTGAAAGGAGGGGACTATATCTATGATAAGAGGAATGAAAATTTTTTAGAGCTAGCCAATATCTATTTACAATTTAGAGAGAGTTAAAAATGTATGAGAGAAGAGTTAGACTTTTCAGACTTTTAAAGTTTGGATGAAGAATATGAATTGTCCCCCATTTCATAAGTAATATCTATATAAAACTCTCATCTTTTATTGTATAGGGATAGGATATCGACTCCAGCATTGTTTGAGAAATGAAAATGATTTCAAGCTTTATCATAATTTAGTTAAAATATCCTTCACATTACTTTATAGTTGATGTTAAGAATGATGACTCTATCCGCTTATCTAATATAAAAACCAGATATGGTAAAGGCATATTTCATTGTCAGTTTGATAGAGTTTCTTTTGATTTTTTAAGAATATTATTTAAAATTTAGATACATCTAATATTATGGTTTACCCAGACTTCAATTTTTCAAGGTTTAAGAGAGTTTTTTATAAAAAATCGTTTCCTTTTTTGGAGAATTATTGGAGTAA